TTACACCCACCATCGATAAACTGTCTACAGATGTTTACAAAAGGTCACATTCTTAAATCGTAAAGTAAACAGCCGACAACAACCCACTGAAAAGATGGCTTCCAGTCAAGATATACCCAGGTCCAACAAACAACCTTCCATTAAACAACTAATTATTGTTTTTACTTTTGAACAGTCTTTAAGCTCAGAGGATGCATGTGTTCACTTCATATTTACTATAGAAGACATGGAAATCATGTATTTCTCAAAATGTCAAACTGTACTTTTTACCATAGACTGTACATAAAGATGGACGCCTTATGTCTCCTTCCTCCCGTTGTAGTGAAATGAAGCTAAAATATGGCAAGTATGTTAAGTATTGTTTCAAATGCAGACTGATCAGACGTTTAACCATTTAAACCTTATTGTACCATATATGAAACGTTAAAACCTTCAATGACATTTTAAATATTCTTCAGGACAAGATATTGAAAAGTTCATATGTTACAAATGTATTAACAAACCTACATGTGTTGGCTTTATATACATTCAACCCAAAAATCATATACATTTCCCTGGTACCTGTCTAATTTGCATTTCATTTATTATTAAAAATTGTTTGATTATGGATCACATGTATTCAACATATCATGTGTCCTTCACTGCATAATTTAGAAGTGGTATAAGATGAATAGCACAAGCACTGGGATCAGAGATGATCTCACTTTTTATTACAAGACACTGGACTAGTTCCCTTTTTCTTTGCATCGCATGACCCTTGGATCTGAAAGTGTAACTGTACAATCATAGTTTATAACTCATAGTACTGAGCAGATATAAATGTTTATCTGAGCCAACCATTGAATATTCATCTGCAGCCCTTCAGTGTTCTGAGGAAATTATAATGTCAGTGACGATTTCAGCGAGAGTCCTCAGTGCGCTTTCTGAGTAAAATACGCCAGGTTTTAATTGACTTTTTATTGACTGTTTCCAGGATAGCTGGGGAAATCTGATTATATGAGAGGTTTAACTGAGTTCATAAACCCAAGTGTGTCTCATCTGGGGCCGCCTGTCATTTGCACTTTGAGTAAGAGGGCTCCAGTGTCAGCATACAGGTCAATTCTATTTTGATCTGATTCCCTGTCCATTACATATACATCATAATTTGCTTTTGATTAACTTAGTGGTTTTTACTATCATGTAGTTATTGCCAGTTATTTCACTTAAATAATGAAAATGATGGATGAAAATAATGTCTGTCACTGAGATTTCCTCCATGCTCTAGTCACTCATCTGGGTCATGACAGTTGCCTTGTAAACAGTGTAGAACGGGGATCCAAATCAGTCGGCACATTCATGTCTGACTACCGCCTGCCTTTGACACACAGTGATCGACAACCACCTGTCATTGGCCTGGCCCCTGTTTGATTTGATCCTCATTCCAAAATCCTGCGTAGCACGTGTGCGGTGCCTCATGCATACCAAGCAGCGAGAGGCCCGGGAGGTTAAGCAGTTCATTATCTGATCACAGAAGAGCATTTGTGAAATCACCCGCAACCATGATATAAGAAAGCGTGATATATATTTTTAGTGGCTGAAAATCAGACGTGGCAAAGCACACAGAATATTATATATATATATATATATATATATACATACGTATATATATATATATATAGTGAGCTCTCAGTTTGGGCACATTAACTAAATGTGTCACATTTTGTTCTGAGCTGTGAAATCTGTCATGTTCACAGTGTCCAAGATGTTGGACACAGATGATGATGATGATTAATGATGAAAAATGACAAGTCGTCAAAGACAACATCCCCTGATTTTGGAAAAGCAGATTAGAGGGCTTCTTCTTCTTGGACTCCTTTTTTGCAGGATGTGGTATGGCTCAGGGATGAAACCATTAAATGAATTTCTTTAACAATGCAACATAGGATGGTTTTTCACATTTACACTGGTTTCTCAGAGAATAAATCTTGGATTTTTATGAAAAAAGTCAGGCCCATTTAGGGGACAGATATTTATGGGTTTGATTTAGTGATTTTTGTCAAATTTACATTTTTGTTCCCCTTTGGAAAAGCATTTTTATTATTATCATTCAGTCTGAATTAATGGTCGCTGCATCTCCCAATGTGTTTACTTTTTCACCAGGAATGTCTGTTTGTTGATTTATTTGTTGGAAGGATTACAAAAAATCATCGCAACGTATTTCCACCAAACTTGATGGAGGGATGGGGCCTCGGCTTGAGGGGAACCCATTACGTTTTGCTACAGATGTGGATTAACAGGGAAAGATCCAGGTTTTTTAATTAATTTCATTATGTTTGTCTATGTTTTATGACAAATACATTTTTTAGATTGTCAGATAATTTATTTTTCTCTTTTACATTTGTGCTATAGAACTAGACAATCATCTGCAGGAATGTTGAGCCTCTGGGAGGTTTTGTGCTCGACTGTGTGCCATTTTATTTCATCCTGTGACATCAACATGAAGACGGCTACACACATTAACAATGATGTGCTGTCACGAAGATTAATTAGCTACTTAATTATGGTGCCATTCATTTCACTTGGAGCCAGAGGTTTTTGACTGCAGGTAATTTTATGTCAGAATTGGTTTCAAAGAAATGAATCAGTCGATGTCTAAGAAAAGAATGGACGCAACAGGATACCTTACAAAAGATAAGATGTACAACATTAGAGAAAAAACGTGATAAATATAGATAAATGAGAGTGAAATTAATATCCTTTATGGAAATCAGAGCAGTGTTGGCATGGTGGAGTGCTATGACTCATTCAAGTTGTCACAAAATTAGACTGCATGAGAAGAAGAGCCAGATTTGACATCTTTAGCTACATAACAAGGAAGGACAGTGACATTTCACAAAAACCTCAATATTTCTCTGATATAATCCACATCTTTTATTCAGCAAGAGCTTAAACTGTGAGATTTGTGGTTTGGCCAAGTCCTGCGTGTTGAGCCATTTAGCTCTAATTCCCCCTGAAATATCTGCTATTGTTTGTGCTTTTAAACAAAAATATTACATCCTTTAAATGTGCCACTTAATGGATCTGTCAGACAGCCGCAAATGGATTCTAATTAGATTTAAATATCTCTCTGCATTTGTCGGCTGAGCCCCTGATTGGACCAGACGGGTTGAGTTATTATGATTAAAGTCAGTGTTTATGGATGAAAGATTCCAACCTACCTGAAAATCAATAAAGGACACCTCAAGGACCATTTTCATGAGAAGTAGTCTGTGTTGCATAATCAAGTTTCTTCCGCTTCAACCAGGTGATTAATTACATTCAATACCACTGCTGAGCTTAGTCATTTAGTTTGTGTAGAGACGTATAACCTGTTTTAAATGCCTGTCTCAGAGTCAAATGTGGGTTTTAATTCCCAATAACAGTCCCAGCTGAAATCCTTTCCTTCAGTTTCGCTATAACATCAGTCTTTATTTGGACATTTTCAATCATACTGCCACACAGTCTGTCGTGTCCACTGCTGACGGATTCCACTGCTGCTAAATTAAGCGAGGACATTCCGGTGCCCGGGGCGTCACAGATCGGACCCACCTCTCACAATACATTTATTCTGATAAGCTTTATTGTTCCTCTTAATAACTCACTTTCTGTATGTCTTTACCACAAAGGGTTTAGTTTTTGGCTAGTTTTTTTTTTTTAACTTTCTTTGATATTGTGAGTAAAGGTATTTTTCAACACTTTGTTGATTTCGTGGGTCTTGATGAAAAAACAGACATGTTTAGGGGACTGATATGTATGTGCAATTTGGGGCAGATCCCAAAAAAATCTGGATGTAGTGAATTTAATTGTGGTTTTATGAGGGGACTGTTTGGCCTTTCTGAGTTCGACACACAGTACTTATATTGTCTGTTGAGGTATAGTTAACCTGAGTGAAAGTTGTGTGACTAAGAAAAGTACCTTCTTTTAGTGTTTGATACTGTGGCTCCATAATACTTATAGTTAGGGATAATATCAAAATCTCCATGTTCTGCCATTCTGTTAGATGGATGTTCTAATATAAACCTTGTGTCCATGATTTCATAACACACACTTATTCAATGTTCTTTAATAACTTTCCAAAATGTTATTTGCTTTCTGCTGATTCCACATGTTGCATGTGATGTATTCTGAGACTTACAACTTTTACATTTTGAATTCAAAGAACATAAACCCTCTAGCATTTTGATTGATAATCGTATTTAACAATAATACATTTTTAATGCTTCACAATTCAGAATGTAATTTACATTCAACATAAACGATTCGCTTCTACTCTGAATATATATATATTATTTCCTGTTCTGATATTAAAACCCTTTTTCTCTTAAGGGTTTGGACTAATCTTAACAACATTAGAAATGCTGATTCATTTGCACATGGCAGGTTGGAAGTTTGGAATTTGCAGATCTGAGCTCACATGGGATCAGACTTTACATGAAGCAACTTAAACGATACGATCTCATTTGCCGATTCAGCAGTTGGTTGTATGTTACGACACTTGAGGGTGTTTTCACTCTGCCTAGTGAGATTTACAGCAGTGACAGGAAGAATGGACTGGATCTCTCCTGTCCTGCACTGATGTCAACATGCAGATTTTTATAATACTTACTCAAATCCATTTATAGAATTTATTCATACTTAGGTAAATAAAAGACAAAGGAACCCAGGTTTTCAACAGGTGATGAGTTCAAACAGTTTAAAGAGAAAAGGAGAAGACATGGATATACAGTATATGCAATTTCCTTGGAAATGAGGGGATGCAGACCAGTGAAGGATCCAGCTGAGCAGGGGTGCAGGGTAGACCTAGTTTGTATAGAGATGACGTGAATAACATCCACATATAAAAATACCCAAATTCTTTCAAACTGACTCCAGATCATGACGCACACACAGGGCGGTTTCTGATTGGCCACTGTGAGGATTTTGTCACTGGCAATCCTGACAGGTGTGTGGGTTGTCAGGTGACTGATGAAGCAGGAAATAAATGTGACGAACAGCTTCCAGGTCCCGAAAAGACACGAGGAACGAACAATCAACAGGAAAACTTGTTCAAAGTTCTCAGGATGTTTATAGTCAGGAGGCACATTCAGAGACTTTGGCCCATAAATTCACAACATGATCCAGCTGTGAATTGAGGCCATTCGGTGGAAGCTCCAGATAGATTTTGGATTAGTTCCATTTCACTGATATTTAATTCATTTGATGCTCTGAACAGAATAACAATGGGGAAATTAAATCAGATGCCAGGTGATACAACACAACAACAAATCTCTGGAACAGTGTCTCCAACTCTCAAGCGTTGTGGCACATGGCCTAAATGTGGTTACAGAAGGCTGGACTCGGAAGGCACTTGGGAATCCCTGTCTGGCTGTGGGTGGATATAAAGCTCCGGCACAACTTTGGGTGGCGCCAGAGCGCAAGAAAAGGACGTGGATGAAACAACCCAGCACAGCTCATGGGTTAAACCGCCCGGAGAATCACTTCTTGTGGCTCGGGCCGTCCTCACATCCACGTTAGACGATGTGCGGATTCCTCCAGCGGGTGGTGGGACTTGCCACCTGTCAGGGATGGTAAACAGGCTGCATCCCTGAGGACTGCACCGGAGACCTCTCCCATATTTTATGGCTACTCCTGCGTTAGAGAAAGAACCGCGGACAACTTTGCGCATGGCGAAAGTGAGCCACTCGCTCAAACTGCCAGTGGTGAGATTATAGCCGGAGTCTGTCTCTGTGCGCCCGGGAGGCTCCGACCCCTCCTCGCTTTGAAGATTAACAGGGTTGACGACGTCTGAAGGACACTAAGAACAGGATTAGGTGTTGTGCCCCGGCTCTAACCTACTTCTCATCACTCCTGCATCGCGTCCTCTGAACATTTGCGCAGTGACCTTTGGGACACTTGGAATACAGCGGGTGCACCCCCGAGGTAAGGAATCGTTTTGTTTTATTTTACTGTCAGGGTTGATTCTATATTTGCAATATAGAAGCTGTTCCACAGAGTTGAATCCCCGCGTAAACAGACAGCAGGAGATATTTGGCGAAATGACAGTGCCGGAGCCTGTTACGCGCAGGTGCCATCGCAATCCTTCACTGCAATATCGATATCTGTGTTATGGTGTTAATGGAGAGAGCTCGCTCATGCTGTGCGTTGTGTGGCTTAATCCGGGGACCGTGCACGCTTAACATGTCAGTGCATTTAGAAGCTGTACAGAGTCAATGCTCCAAACGCATGAAGGCTTGTGTAATTTGCAGAACGTGCAGCCCAAGATTCCTAGCTTTAGTGTGTGTTACTGTATGTTTGGCACCAGAGTCTAAACTGATATTAAATTATTTGATCAGGGAATCACAAATTATCTGTGTGAGCTTTATTCTTTCCTCTGAGTGCCACTGCGAGAGCAACACATGGGCTTTGGATAGTGCCATCATTTTGGCTCTCCCCGCAGCACAAGCCAAAGGAGACATCTTTCCTGTCATGGTATATAACCCACAAGGACTATTTTTCTTGTTTGATGGAATTAATTAAATATTAAACACCATGGTATTTATCCTGTGGAGAAAACGAGCATGTCATTATGCTCACTTAGAGGGTTAGTCTGACTCTGTATCAGCTTTAAAGAATGTACAATTTGATGTTCATCAAAAAAAAAAACCCAGTAAATCCTTAACAAAAAGCCCTAAGCTGGTGGTTTAAGAGTGAAGTGTATTCACTCCTGTCCCAACAACTGAGTGTGGAGAAAGCTCACTTTATTGCACAGCATAGTAATGCACTAGATTAACCATCTGCACAGCTGCCTGCAAGCAAATGAAGAACTAATGTGGACCCTGAAGCCGATGCGGCTGGTATCATGTGGACAGAAACCTCTGTGATGTAGCTTTGCATTCTGACTGACACTGTTCACATCAGTGCAGTTTGACTTCCAGACCACTATCACATTGATTATACATGTTGCTGTGGTATTATGAAACCTCTGCTGGTGCCCATGGGTCAGCTGCAGGGTCATCAGCTGTGTACCACCAATTTTACATCTTTGGCTCCTTAACCCTGGAATGCGGTGGTGGAGAAGCACCAGGGACGTCTTCCTACCACCCTCTGCAACTACACCTCAGGTTTGGTTAGGTAAGAGCTGATGTAGGGTACCGACAAAGATACATCAACCTGCTTGTAATGGTTAGGTTTTAGGTTTGCCAGCCAGCGTCCTTGCACTCAGCAACGATAAGTACGAGTATTTTAGCCTCTTCTACTCCCTCTTTATGAGAAGCACGTTCTTGGCACTGCTGGACCACATCACTATGTCCTTCGAATGGCTCTTCTGTGCCCCCACCTTCTCTGACGAATTGAATGCGATGGATTACCTCTGCTTATGTCCTGTCTTTGCCCATTGAGCACCTCAGCCAATCTGCTCAGGACCTGGTCCCATCGCCACCTGTGGTGTCCTCAGAAGAGCAACTTTATGTCAATGTAGGCTGCTGCAGACTGGCTGTTATTTTCATAGGATTCAATTAGTGAGATTAAAAATATTTGATTCTGTATCCAGGAGTTTACTGTTACTTAGTGAACAAGAATCCCACGATGCTGTTATTTTGCTTTTTAACGATGTGCTTAAAACACTGTTCTCAACTCCGGCGTTATGTTATTTTATGTGTACTTCACTTTCCATCAGCTAAAGGTTTGTGTCCTAGAAGTGTGGAGAGAATATGTAAAAAGCATCGCTGCAGAATGTATTTATGAGTCGAGGGTTGGGCCAGCTCTTTCCAGAGGCTCACATTCGGGAAATGAGAGATGAAGAGTGCCGTGGCTCAGGCCAGCACGACTCCATCTCCATTGATATTCTGCCTGTGTCCTGCTCCATGGGCAGCCCATTGTCATAGCTTGCTCAGTGGGATCGTATCTGATGATTGAGGGGGTATGGAGGGTTGAAAGCCAGCGTGGAAATAAACTAAAGGTTAATTTATTGAAGGTTAAAGATATGTCCTCACAGAAAGGGCTACAGCGTGTTTGTGTTCATATTGTGGGAGCAGCATGGATGAAAATACTATATGATGTAGTGTGATGATAAAATAGTAGTTTAGATTGATGAGAGACCCAAATGAATATGGTTAGATTGTCTTTGTGTGCTATTTGTTCACCATGCTTCCTCATATTAGAATTGCAGTTAAATGCATATTCAACAAAATGAAACTTGACTTGTCTTGAGACCACCATTCCTTTCATTTAATTGTAATTTAGATGCCATGAATTCCAAGCGAAGCAGGTGCATCCTGAGTGGTGAAAGGGTGCAGCTTCTCCAGCGTCAGGTGCAACAGTGCCACACTGTGAGGCCACTCAGTCTCTGTAAGATTCATGTCTAGCCGAGCAGAAAGATTTATCTGTCGTGAGTGCATGAAATCGCAATGCTCGGCAGTGTTCCGTCCAGGGCTGGAGAGAGAGAGGGAGAGAGAGGGAGAGAGACAGATCCTTCTTTGCTTTGAGAAATAAAGAAGTCGCACACAAAAAAAGTACCAAGCACTAATGGCTGCCTGTGCTTTGTGTCAGGTAGAAGTGATTAAGGCTTTTTTTTGGACTGAGAGGTCGAATAAAAGCAGAAAAGAGTAACAATGGTGGATGACAAAGAAATTCATGGAGGACTTGAACAAATAAGGAAAATGTATGAAGAGTGACGTGGAAATAGAAAGATTATACTCTTAGCTCAGCATTGAGTTATATAAACGTTTTTGCTGCCTTTTGCAAAATGTACATGTTGAAGGACAGGTAAAGGAAACAGAAATGGTGTAAATGTATCTAAAATATTGCACTGGAATGAAAAATAATTATCACCTTTAATTTATTTGATGCTGTAAATAGCTAGTCAATGTGTTTTAATGTGTCACTTTTAATGTTTGGCTTTATTTTGTGGGGAAAAAATTAGGTTGTTTTTTGTCAGCACAATAATAATATACACTTAACTGATTAGCATCACATTATAAACTAACATTTGCAGATAATGAAATGTATGTTTGAATGAGAATAAAACTGTCTGAGTTTGAAAGATTTATGTTTTTCACTTCGGTGACCAGTGGATTGGTGTGATCTACAAATCAATAATACAGCATTTCATCAATTCAGTTTTGAGACGTTGTAAATTCATAGCAAGAAGCTTGTAGTTGCATTACGTCATCGTAAAGCTTGACGAACTGTCGTGGCCAGTGGCTGGAGCAGACATTGTGTCCAGGTCCCCACTGAAGCATTAGGGGAAAGAATGATTAATACACATGTATTTGAAGTTATCACAGTGTCTGTCCATCCATCCATCCATTTTCTTCCACTTATCCAAGGTCACAGAGGCAGCCGCCTAAACAGGGTGTTCCAGACATTCCTCTCCCTAGCCACGCTTCATAGCTCCTCCTGAGGGATTCCTAGGCCAGATGGGATATGTAGACCCTCCAGCAAGTTGTGGGTCTACCCCTGGGTTTCCTCCCAGTTGGGCATGCCCGGTAAACCTCCAATGGAAGGTCCCCAGGAGGTATCCTGACCAGATGTCCAAACCACCTCAACTGGCATCTTTCAATGTCAGGGAGCAGTTGCTTTACTCCGAGCTCCCTGCAGATAGGAACTACCACCTTATCTCTATCACTAAGCCTAGCTACACTACGGAGAGAACACATTTCAGTTGTTCTGGGTAACAGGTTTATATTATAATACTTCTATATTTATAGAACCTGGGAACTGATTTTTCAAAAGACGTTGTTATAATCAGGAACACAGTGAGCTAATCTACAGTAGCACCTCAGAGAATGCTGAAGGGCAATTTGCTCCTCATCTCCTTTGCTTTCACCCTCTTGTGAAGTCTCTGAATGTCAACTGCAGTAACTACTGCTGACTGGGCAGCGCTGCCTGGTTGAGAGTCTGAGCTTTAAGTGTTAGATAAGCAGTTTTTCTAGGAAAATATAAATGTTATAATTAATTTCTTTTGTTCGACAATCAAGACCTTATTGAAAGGATGTGGTCAAAAGTGGAACAGGAAGTTGTGCTGATTGGCGTGTGTGTGCGTGTGTGTGTGTGTGCGTGTGTGTGCGTGCGTGTGAGCGTGTGTGTGTATGTGTGTGTGTGTGTGACCTCTTCTTTGTTTGAAACTCTTATGATACAAACCTCGATACAAACTCGAACTTCCCAATTACACAATCTGGAAAAGCTTAAATTTTTATTGATGGGTCCTTCATCAAAACTCAGTAATCAGATAAGGACAAAGCACTTTTTTGTTTACTTGATCTTCAATCTAATAAGCAGAATCCAACCAGTTATATTTGGCCTCATAACTGTGCGGGGAACGGTAATTTATCATTTATCAATTTTTGCTCTGGGAACCACTGACTGCTTTACTTTTCAGGGGGAAACAGTTTCAGGGAAGACAATACATAGATTACTTCCATCTATAATTTGTGATGAACATAGCAAGTGTCCATATGTTTGCTGACTGAAATTCTATTAGCCTAAATTAATATTTGCCCCAGCTCCCAATAAATACTGCTATACAAAAAAAGCAAATAAAGGGGAAGGATGTGAATTACCATACTGTGATAATAGCTTGGCTATACGTTGACAGGATGAGTTGTAGGTCTGGACAGATAACACCGTGGCTGTGTTTTAATTTCACACTTCAGTAAGAGTATTTATCTGTGGTTGGTGTGACAGGTAATGTTCTGTAACTTTACTATGCAAAATGATTTTGCAGGCTTACTGTGACCTTCCGTCTATACATACTTCATTATTATTAGAATACCATTAATTATATTGCACTTTAAATATGTACATTGTCAAAAACCCATTTAATCACATTTAAATCCATGAGATCCAGATTTTTGTTTGGATCTGCACCGAAATGCACCCGCTTATCAATACAACTCGCTAAATATGTTTTCTCATCAATGTTCACACAATTCCCTGAGAAA